AGTCTTTAAAACTGACAAGAAACTGAAATAAGGCGGATGGTGCAACATGTTATTTCATTTTTGTATTGTATCTAGGGGTGGGTATCGGTACTCGACCAAATTGACGCAGTACCAAAGAGTATTTTTTAGAATGGACAATGCACTATACATGTATTTTGTACATGGCTAATTTTCATCCGTAGACTTCAGTCAGCCTGCTTTCAACCCTTTTTGTAACCAGATCTAATGAAAAAAACTATTTGTCTGGTTTAGCTTGAAGCCAATCACTTCGAGTATTCTACAATTCAATTTGACATGTGACTGGACCGCAACTCCAGCTGTAGCTAGCAGCTACAGCAGCTACAACTAACAGCTGCAGCTACAGCTACAAGCTACAACCCTACATACAGTCAGTGGTGGTGAAGTAGAGCATTGTGTATTTGAGTTCACAGTTAAGCATGCCGAGATGCGTTCTAAAGTATGGCTGTACTACACACAAAATAAATGTTTGCAACCAATAAAATATTTTTTTAAAATGTGAGTTAATATAAATGTAACTGATTGTGTTAATGGGTAATTATGATATCGTCACATTTTGTGGCAGATGTTTGTGATATCCGCAAATACTGTATGGTGGTCCAAAGAATCGATATAATATCGTATTGTGATTAATCGTCATTTACAGCCCTACTAGTAGGCAGGTTCGTGTGCTCGGTTTCACAGTCTGATACAGATTCTGTGCAACCCTACTGTAGCTGCTGCAGATACAACTGGCAATACAAATGATAATTAGTGCTTTAGATTCAAAGGTATCGAATAAAGTATTGGTATCAGTACCACTTTAAGGGGACTGCTATTGGTACTGGTATCGATCTTCAATGATACTCAGCCCTAGTTGTATCATAATTCTGTCATTAGTCAGTCATCTAAACAATGTTTAGGGTGATTCTGCACACGTTGTAAGCTGTTTTATTTGGCTGTTTTCCTTGACTGGATTAGTAGATGTAATGTTATATGTAATGTTACTGTAAAGGTGGTAATGGTAAAAGGTGTGAATGGCAGACTACTACCTGCCTCTGTTGGTAATTGGTATTTCACAAGGCAGTGTTAAAGCAATTGGAAACATTTACACAGTAACAATGTAATTGACCCATCATTACTGTGTCAGTCAGGTTTCTGGTTACAACCCCTTGGTTTCAAATGTGTTATTTCCTGTACTTTAAGATGATAAAATACAATCAAGGAGAGTCTGTGTGTACATCCATGAGTTTGAAAGATTACCAGACACTGAAAGTCTAGAAAGATTTTTATAACATGCAAAGTACTACACTACAAAGTTATCGACCATGAATCTGGGCTGCACATATCTGATTAGCCAAAGCAATTTGTTGGGGGATGACGATCAGTCTAAACACAAACCTGAGTGTGAACCTATTTAGTGAGGTTTATTCTTTTTTTGTTTTTGTCATTAAAGTTTTTAATAATTTAAGTATATATATGAACAGACAGTATCCTTACATTTGGTTACAAGATGTACAAAAGTCTGTGATAAATTAACACATATAGGGCAACCAAAATAGACATATAGCAGTTATAAAAGTACAACCAGATCATTACAGTGTCCCAGAAGTACTGTAAGCAAAAATGCTGCCACATACCCTCTTAAAATTCACATCACCATTATTAAATCTCGCTAACATTTGTTCATACAATACTATTTCTAACATAGATTCCATCCATTTTTAATACCTGCGAGGATTTACTTTTCCATAATCTGAGGATCATCTGGGCGGCCGTGACCACCCCGATCTTTATTACTGTAAAGTCATATTTTGATATATTGGGCATTTCTGTTCGGTCCCCCAGTAAACATAGTCTCCATGACACATGTACCATCAAATCATACCACTTCGCTATGTATTCTAGTACTTTTTTTTCCAGAATGGGTAGACAAGTTTACACATTAACTTAAACTGAATGAATTTCCCCCTAGCCTACCTTATATATTTCCTGGTATTTGATAGTGTTTTTAACCATTCCTCATCACTTTTTTTCTTCAATCATTTCTTTTCCTTTCTTTGTCCATAAGTGAAAGACACTGAGTTGAAAACACCAGTTCAAAGTAAAGCACAATTTTACAGTCAGCACAGTTTTTCATATCATATTCTCAATTTACATTGTGAGCATACAAATAGGATTTATAAACCGACTGACAATGGTGTGAACGTGGTTGATTTATTATGGATTTTTGTGGTTTGTTGACTGCAACTTTTCAAGGGGAACCCCACCAATTTCACACATCAAAGAGTGTTTTCAGGTGGGGATTTCTACAGCATATGTGAAGTTGTATAAAGCCTTTTGTGTCTCCAGAGGGAGCTGTTGTGAAGTCTGATCCTCAAGTGATGTCACTTGAGTCAGCATCAGTTGGGACTGAAGACTACTACTACTGGGAGTGTGTAGTTAGAAAAATGTGAGCGTACCTGACCTCTGTAGCATCCACCCATCTCTACTTGAGGTTCCAGGCTACATTAGGCACTACTAGCATTTTATACCATGGTCTGGGTGAATACTCGATTCTGATTGGCTGCAGTCCAATAAGTCCTGATATAGGATACCTACTAAGTGATGGACTGCAGAGGGTGCACGTCGGATGGATCTGGCCTCCACGTCATCCATTAATTCCTGATAATGGACACCTTGTCAGGCATTAAACATAACACATAACATATCTGTATGTTTGACCTAACTGTTGGCAGTCGAGTTGTATTGTGAGTAATGTAATGCCAGGTTCAGACAAGAAAGAAAAATGCAAGGAATAAAAATGAGGATATCTCTGTTTCCACTGCATCGATTTTTATCTTTTTATTTTTCTTTAACTGTCCATCATGAGTCTGACAATGTTACAATAATAAATGGGTGGAGTACTCCTCTAACTGAAGATGACATCAGGTTGTAAATTCAAGGTAGTGTTTGTTGGCTTTAGTTTTTTGAAATTGACAGACCTAAAACCACCTGAATATATACAATAATTATAATAACATATTATGGATCCCACCAGCAATATGGACGGAAGCAATGTGAATGGCCTGCTAAATCACAAGGTAGGGTTCAGCCATAAGCTCTGAGACAGCTTAAAGTTGAAATGGTTATGTTGGAGTAAAAGTAGCAATGGTTTGCATAAAATAAAATGCTCCTTGCAGAGCTGCCAGAGGTCTTGCAGGTCTCTTTACAGCTTGCAGATTGATCACTGGGTTCATCTCAGCTTCCGGGGCTGGTCGGGCCCTTAAGATGTATTAATATGTTAAAACATCAAAGTCACACAAGACAAACCAACTAATTGAGAGAGTGGTAGAGCACAAACCAACTAATTGAGAGAGTGGTAGAGCACAAACTCCCGTGTTCTTCAAGGTGAAATTGTGGGCTCTGAAGAAAGCCTAAATGAATATAATGGCTTCAGTTCCATTTGGTTACATTATCTTCATCATTTTGGTGACCTTTTTCACATAATATAGGGGGATGATTAACAGGTCCACCATGAGTTGTGACATGACATCTATTGCGCACAGTGTGATTGGTTGAGGCCAACATTCGTGGTTTCATATTTGAGTTCTCTAATACTCATGGCAAAAACAATAGATGGAAATAAATCTTTTGATATTCAAATAACTACCCTAGTGTGAATAAAGCAGACAAACCATTTGCCATATTTCTCAGCACAGCCATGTGAATGACATAGTAGGTAAGGGTGGAGCATGTATCCATACAAAACTTCTTCTTCTTCTTCTTCTTCTTCTTCTTCTTCTTTCTATCTGTGCCTCCTTGTTGACATGTTCCTGTAAAATGTTGGTTTTGTTTTACTTTTGGTTGACTTTTCAGATACGTGGCCCTTACGTAACTTCAAAGAGAAAAAAATGTCAAGGCCACCTCTCCATGTTAATAAAAAGGACAGCATGTATTCAGGGCTGTAGCTACCACTAAATATACTGGTTAGCCAACATACAACAGCAATCACTCGACTGTATTTGTCCTGAATGTAATGGACCCTTAATTGGTATCAGCGGTATCACCTGTGTTTACCCTACTATTTCATGTCAAAGGGCTGCTGTTGTAACATTTACAGAGCAGTTGAATAAATGAATAAATGTAATGCTTGCTTCAAAGTGGGGGTCACAGAACATTTTAGGCAAGATGAGGGAAACATTTTCATAAATATATTTCTAAAATCGAAATATTACCCTATGATTAAGCGTATTATCATAAAATATAATTTAAAATAAAATATACCATCAAAAACGTATTTGTCCATCTTCCTGGAAATATATAGAATTTTGTTTTTGACATTTGCTGCAGTATTGCCAATGGGTTGGCAATGGCATTGAAACGTTTGGGATCCCCTGTTTTAGGACACTTGCCCCGCACTGGGGTAACTTGGACCAGTATTTCTAAAATTCTTACTACAACTGCAACTAACAACTATTTTATCAATTAATCAGGTAATTATTTTCGTGATTAACTGATTAGTAGCTTGGTCAATAAAGTGACACATCCTAAAGCTGCAGATCCTAAAGCTGCAGATCCTAAAGCTGCAGATCCTAGAACTGTTTGCGTGAAAAAAATACTCAAATGTTTGTAAAAAAAATAGTTGCATATTAATTTTCTCATTGACTAACTGCTAAATTGACTAATCGTTTCAGCTCTATGGACCTGTGCTTATATAATACTATTCAGCATAAAAATCTGAATTGATGATGTCAGGCTTAATGAAAAAAGTTCTCAACTTAAACGGTTGTTATCATGTATGGACATTCTTCATTCATACTCCTCCTCGCTTCCGGGTGTGAACTTCATTTCAATCCATTGAAAAAGTCCTAAGGAAACTGCGGTTTTAGAAAAGCCTTTATGGCGCTACCAGTCCGCCATATTGGCTCAAAGCCTATAGGCCTCAATGGAGAATCCTGGGTAACGGCTTGGCGCCAAAATGGAGGACGGCCGGGCAGTTTCATAACCCCCGTGTAGGAGGAGCTAGGTTTTCTGGAAGCTCCGTGGAGCTGAACATCCAGGCACACGGGCGACAGTGGCCGGGAAAAAGACATAAACCAACGGCTCGAAAAGTATTGCCGAGCGGAGGAGAAAGAAGCTTCTCAATTGTATATTTGAGGACTTCAACCCGCCCGTCAGTTCCACGGCAAGAGGACTGTGAGTGTGCATCCCAGAAAACACCGAAGTGTAACCCGTGGCTGCTCGGGAAGTGAGGAACGCTTTAACCCACCTGGTTCAGCGCTGTTACCCGAGCCTGATGTCTACTGTCCACCGGGTCTGTCCGGGCATTTCCTCCTACGCATAGCGTTAAAAGCGGCATAACAGTCGGAACCACTGACGGGAGCGTACGGCAGCGTAGTGGTGTATTATCATGTTTGTTTGACAACCACGTATGGTTTGCTTCTTGAGACGGGAGTACGATACCGGGAAGCGGTGGGAAAGGCGGGGCCGAACCGGCGGACTCCCAAACTGGATTATTGAGCTCCCCCTGTGCCGATTCACCCTCAGCGACGCAGCGTTCTTTTGGGGGGGCGGGGGGTCGACGAAGGAGGCAACAACTGGAATTTAGAAACCTTTCTTTGGAACTCTTTACCGACTGCCCTGTCGCTGACGATACGAGTGCTGTTTTGTCACTTAGTGTTATTTCTGTCAAACGGTTAGCTGCCTGTGGCCTTCGATTTCCCCCATTTAGGAGCACAATCAGGTTTAGGACGCATATTTTGGGGATAATTCTTTCCCCAGCCGGGGTCGGACTATGGCGGACGACGACATTCTCTTTGAAGATGTGTACGAGCTCTGTGAGGTCATTGGCAAGTAAGTGTTGCATTGCTCTTTTATTTCTCAGTTTTTAAGGTTAACGTTGGTCACTGGGGCTTTCCAATTAGCTCCTCATAATATCCCGAGGGTATGGCACGTGCACGTACGCACACGCACGCCCCCAAAGCGTGGTAATATTTGTGTTGGAACTAATGTGCCTGTGGTCGTCATAACTGAATGTATAGTGACCTTAATCGTAGTTTATGCAGTCTTCTACCAATTGGTAGCACTATGTTATTTAACATAGGCTCATCCCACAGCAATTTATCGTATATTATTCCAGCATGGAGTTAAGATGCTGTGTTAATGTGGCAGTTTTTATCATCCTCCTGCATGCATGGTTTATGTGATTCACTACATGGCATGAAAGCGTGTGCTTTGACCTAGTGGCAGTTGGCAACTTGCTGCAGAGATTAAAGGGCAGGGCACCAGACCATCATGAGTCATGCAAGCCGCACATCTGGTCATCGTTAGTGACTGAAGGTCTCATCCAGGCGACTGGGAGCAATACTCTCTGCAAACGTAAGACGATAGCAGTGCAAGGTTTAGGGGGATGTTATTGCTCAGATAAGTCCAGGTTGTGTTGTTTAGTAATCACCTTCCCTTATAAGAACCAACATAATGCAACATAATGAAGTTTGGTTATCAAAATAAAATACTGTATGCATTTCATCATGTTAAAGGAGTAGTGTAGCTGCAAAATAAACAGACATAAAATCCCATTAGGTGACCAGTAGCTGAATTATACTGTGGTTGCTAGAACTACCTTCCGTTTGTAATCCTGCTTTAGAAGTGAGGGATGTAAAAAAGCTTGGTCTTTGGTCTTTACCCTTTGTACTCTTTGCTTTGTTCTGCTTAATGGCTGCAGTACCTGCACCACACCTGGGACTTTCCAACTTGATAGGCTTCATAAAGGAGCTGGGGGGACGTATGAAGAAAGGCAGTAAATGCTGAGGGAGACAGTCACTTTGTTTTCATATTCAGACGAGACAGTTGAGTGAGTGGAGACTATGTGTTTGAGGGGAAAGCTGTTTCTGCTCTGACCGATGCATGAATAACTGACTGTGTCATCCAAACTGCCGGTCTTGAATAAAGCACTTCATTGGGTGAACAAACAGAAGCTCTCCGTGAATCAGGAGCTTGGCAGGCCTGACAGACATAGTCAGTCAGACATGGCAGGCTGACTGGTTGTGGGACTTCTGTGGTGTCACAGAGATGGTTGACTGTTTGACAGGGCGGTAAGACCTGCGCTGTGCAGTACATGTTTAGGCAAGCCTGAAAATGGTGTGTGCTCTTTTTATCCCATACAGTCAGCGGTTCCTTTCTCTCTCACTCAAACACACGCAAGCATGGAGCTAAAGGAATCCTCCCTGTGCGTTCGTAATGTAAAAATATAAAAATCACAGCTTTAAATATGTGTTGTTCAGCCAAGGTTCTTGTGGGGCAGGAGGGACACTTTAAAGCCAAATGCTTTGAGTCTGCTGTACACAAACACTCTGTATTAGTTTTCTGAATCGCAGCCTTACTTACTGTATCGGACAGATTGTCTGTGATGAACAATTTACAGGAGAAGAGAGAGAAGAGAGTCTTTTATCAGCTGTCCTGCTGTTCTCTTGAGTGGAAAGCTGCTGCAGCCACAGCTTCTTTTTAAGACTGCGCTGAAGCACCAATTGTGGGTTTTGATCCTGAGAGAGAGTGGAGGGAAACCCAACAAAATGACAACACTGCACTCAGGAAAGGCATTACTTTAAAAGCCCAGTGCCCTGGATCTTGAATTGGCGTGTGTGTGTGTGTGTTCTGCAGGGTTAGACCCACATAGTCGCAGCAAGCGGCCTATATATACTGCAGGACTTCCTGCACTGTGCTTGGAAAGCAGTGTTGCGATACCTGCTCTGTGTGTGTCCCAGTGACGGTATATAATTAGTGGACGGAGCTTCCGGGTTGGTAAAGTGAAGCCAGTGCGGAAGTGTCTTAACTCTGCATTCTGCCAGCAGGGCTGCAAAAAAGAAGTCAGATAGTATAGAGTCTTATGGAGGAATGAGCCTACTACTGACTTGATTTATTATCTCAGTAAACAGTTTCCTTATGAGTTTATGGTCTCAATCTCTAGTCTAAGTCTTCTTCCATACAGCATGATTGCAGATTACTGCAGCCTAAAATGCCAGAGTTTAAGGCAGCTTTTCTACAAAGGTGCGTTGCATGTTGCAATGTTTTTAGGCATTTCTTTCTTCCAGTGAGAATACAATTACTTAGTAGTTGTAGTAGTCCTACATAGGCGTATGGCTCAACGCCTGTCTAGGAGACTACTGGGATTAGTGAAATCTGGGAAAGGTTGCAGTAATTTGGCGAAATTGACCTCATGAATCAAAAATGAATCAAGACTTTGTTACTGCATTGCTTTATTCTCTCCTCAAATCTTTTCAGAAACAGATTTTAGTGTACTGTTCTGTAACGCAAGAAAGTGTGTGACTAGTGTTGTTTCCTGCTACAAAGTGCAGCCAATGAGAGCAGCTCAACTTACAACATATCACCACTGCTGGCTCTGAAAAAACAACATACCAACGGCCATAATGCCAATATATAAGGTTCATGGCTCTATGGAAAACAGGATCCACCCTATGATCTTGTCCATGTACTGTATGTCTGTGTACATGCATAATTTGACTATGCATGGACAAAATTTAGCTCTGTGCTCGTATTTTCAGAGCGCTGACCTTGGACAAAACCCTGTCCGTCACCCACATTGTGCATGTGCGCATAGTGTGTGCATCTGCCTTGATGTCAGATTGATCACACGTGTTGTGCTACCGTGTCCTGAGGCACACAAGACAGGGTAAGGATGGGAGAAAGTAAATTGAGATGTTAGGGACCAAGAACATGTGAACAGGGAGAGTAAAAAAGAGGTTGCATTGAATATGAGATGAGTGAGGGAGCAAGAGAGGTCAGGGTCACAGTAGAAGGAAGCAGTCCATTAGTTTGACTCACACATTAAGAGACATCCTGCGCCTTCGGGCTGTGTTCTTCTTTTCTTGTTCATCCTTCGAAAAAAGTTGTGCGTGTGTGTGCCTGTGTTTCTCACAGTAGGCGACGTAACGCAGCACTGCGCATGAAGAAATGGACTGCAAAAGATGTTGTTTGCCTTTGTTTTTCATAATCCTTGAAGCTCTAAACTGTGCTGCGGTTAATGCTTGGTGACAACAGAAGATGCTAATTTCAGTGCATCGGAGCAAAACTGCACAGCATCCCAGGTTTGGATTAAAGTTCTGATGTCATGGTTGTAACATCAGAATGCATGCTCTACAACGTTACAGGCCATTGAGAGGTTATGCAGCAAACCATAGTGTCTTACATCTCCTCTGTTAATAGAGCCAAAACTGGGAGTTAATATGACCCATGTGACTGGATCAATGGCCTCCCTGTCCTGTGTATTTGGACTCACTATGGATTTAACAATAGATATTGTGCTATAGCATACTTTGCTGTAGAGCTGATCTGCTCCATTGTGAATAAAATGAATGACCCTCTATTTGCATACCTCATGGCCTAGGAGGACACTTGGGGGTGCTGTACAAAGCCTAATGTCATTATAACTCTTGGCCCAAGGAGGTGTGTGTTAATTTCTGTGTATTTGACGCATGTGTCAGTCCTTGCAATCGTGTGGCCTAGTGAGTCCCTTTCCAGTAGTGACAGGGAATATAAGCCGAGGGCCTCACTTTGTCTCCTGCACGTGTCATATAGATATACTTTATTAATCCCCTATTGGAGAAATTGTTCTTTTCACTCTTTTTTATTTACACACACACACACACACACACACACACACACACACACACACACACACACACACACACACAGGCTGTAATGAGCAGTTTCTTGGGGTTAGGTTGCCTTGCTCAAGGGCACCTCAGCAGTGCACAGGAGGTGAAACTGGCACCTACTGCCGCCCCTCAATGTCCTAATGTCCTACTAATGTCCCATTCACCTCATGGAGTGAGCCGACACCACCCTGTTATCCACAGGTAATGAAACACCTACCACTTCACTGTTTCTCCACTGCCCTTTTCAGCTTTCTGTGTAAGGCATTATGGTAATAATGAGGAAGGTTTGTAAGTATGCCTGTCTCCCCCATCCTCCCACAAGTTTTTTCTGCCAAGGTGCAAGTGTGAACCTATCGTGAAGTCACCCATTTGTGGAGTGCCGTTTTTTTTAAAGCCTCGAGTCGGGAGTTTTGGCCGCCGCCATGACCACCGGATGTGACGTACTGCGAGTTGATCTGTGCTCATTGGCTGTGCAGTTTTGAAACGTCTGTAACAGGAAACAATGGCAGCTCGCCTGGTCACACACATTCTCGTATTACAGATAAACAGTACACTGACATATGTTCTAGATATCTGATCAGCACTGCCTACTTTGACAGTTTGATCTGAGTTTGGTGCATTGAGCTGGACGGACTCACTGAAAATGACCTGTATATCAAATGGTAGCCCCACCCAAAAGCATACACCGCTTTATTGTCTATTTAACACTAAATGAACATCATGCTGTATGGAAGAAGACTGAAACTAGCGACTGAGACCATAAACTCATCAGGAAACTGTTTACTGAGCTCATAAATGAAGTGAGAAGTTGGGTCATTCTCCATTAGAGTGAATGGGATCGCTGTGTTATTGCAGCCAATGGAGCTCCTCCTGCTGGCCTTTACATAGAATGCAGGTTTTAAGACACTTCCATGTTGGCTGCACTTTTCAGACCCGGAAGCTCTGTCCATTATATTTACTGTCAGTGGGTGCAACCCACCAGTTTAGTTAATTATGTATTTTAAAGGCTGTGCTAAGGTTTTGTGTATATATGTGTAGCACACGTTCACCTTTTGATAAAACGTTTGAAACAATAACCTATATCAGTACAGGCAGCTCCACTACAAGAGCCATGTCTTTGGCCATGGGGGCTTGCTTTTTTAATGATGATAAGCTTATGATACTAATAACCCTGCAAGG